GTTCCCTGAAAATTTCAACCTTCCAGCTTTTCTGGTATCCGAATTAGCAATTTTCCCCCAAAACTTTCATACGCCCTTACGTGAATACCATGCACACCTGAGGGCTGGATCTGAAATATTTAAGTTGTACTTGGACAGGGAATATTCCCGTAACCAGCCTTCCAGCTTTCCTAGTTGCCGAGTTAGCAATTTTCCCCCTAAAACTTTCATACGCTCTAACTTGGGTACCATGCATACCTGGGGGCTGAATTTGAAAACTCTAGCCAATACATGCACAGGGAACATCTCTACAAAGTTTCAGCCCCTCAGCTCGTGTGGTCCTCGAGACCGCCCTCCCGCCAAAAAATTTGCATATTTTTTTAAGGGGTCCGTACGCGGCACCCAGGCGTCCACGGGGATGATATTAAAATGTGAGGGCCGCGTATAATATGAGGACATATTCCCAAAGTTTCGGCCTTCTATCTTTTCCCGTTCTCGAGTTACGAACTTTCCCGCCAAAAATTTCCTCCTCTCGCACGCGGGGCCCAGACGTAAGTGGGGGATGGTACCGCGGTTCTGGGGTGGTACTTGGCCGGGGCACCGATTAGCAAAATCTCGGCGCTGAAACTTGCTTGGTTGCCGAGTTGAAATACCCGGACAGACGAACACCACACACGAAACATACACACACACAAACACACACACACACAGGGTCGTCCCAATATGCGTTTTCGCAATTTGCATATAGGCAAAAACACATAATGACTGGGCTTCATGCAATAAGCTGATAATCATGTACGCTGGAGGCCCATGCTGTCCCACAACGTAGCATTTTCGCCTCAGACCGACAGCTTTTCCCCTTCATGCGAAAAAGGCCAAAACACAACCGACAGAATGTATGTGTTAAACTACTACGCAAGAGCCATTCCTGCTGTTTAATGATCTGCAACTTAGGCGCAAAAACGCATGATCGCACCAGCAAGCCTGTTGCTTTGCAGTACGTGAGAAATAAACTCGAAATCCTGAAGTACCTTTGAAAGCGACAAGTACATGACCACAAACCATGGAAAAGTGCTGAAACTGAATTGCAGAGCACTCACAAAACGAAGTCAAAAATCCTCAGCAGTCAAAACCAGTTAGTTTAAAACAAAACCCACTACCGGCGAGCACTAAGGTTACTGATACGGTCATGCGTTTTTAGCGATCAATCAAATAATTTTACTCTATTTTATAAAATAAAAAGTTTGAAGCAAAATTCTTATGCATCAAGCGACAACGAAAGACAGCCCTGCTTTAGATTTTTTTTTTATTAGTAAAGCACAGTAGAAAATTTTGGTTGAAAATGCTAAGTTTAGTTCCTGCTGCGATGTGTAAAACAGAGAAATTGCCGAAGGACGACATAATGTTTGAACTTTTCATCTTGGCCGGCTGCAAAGCTCAATAAGCAGCGGTGCAAACCAGGGCAACCGTTGTGATTATGCGTTTTGCGCAGTTGCTCAACTAGCAATAGCTTTTGAGAATATTTACCGCTTTACAGATTGGCATGCGCAAAAATTACAAGATTCCTTGCGTGGAACGTAGGCGATCACGACAGCCGAAGCTGAACTTGTAGGTCCACACACAAGCAGAAGATACCCTCTAACAATTTTATCTTTCCGTTTTGTTCAGTTCCCGAACTAAAAAGTGTCGCACGAAATTTGAACGTAAATGAGAGGAAACATCACACTAAATTTTCATCTTGCCCACTCCCGAGGAAGATTTCGCACCAAAACTCCCACATGTTTTCGAAATGGCCAAATTCCGATTTTGTTATAAAATGTAATAGAAATATGTATTAGCGATTTACAGACGGGTAACAACCGGAAATGTTTCTTCTGAAATTTGTATTTTTACAATTCTCTCCGCAGATTTGTATACGCAAAGACCGATCCAGCGCGGCTTATTTACACTTTTCCTCTTTTCAATACGGATGCCGCCGAATCTTCGTCGCCCAGCTATTTTTCGATCCGTATCCGAAATCTCCTCATTTTATTATTCCAACACTTTTGACGACCATGAATGGTGGCGAAATGGAAGGTGGACGACGAGGAACAACAATGATGAGACATCGGACCACTTTTCTTTCTTCCCTGTACTTTTATACACATTATCAACGTATATCTTTGTCGCGCTGCGTGTCGTTCGTGTCGCGCATATTGATGTACATGTGACCCAAGTTTGGAATAATGGAAGAAACGACGAGTAGACCTGCTGAATCACGGCAAACGACGTACATTGGGCCTCCCATTCAACGTTTAGTGGTATTCATGCAAGTCGAGCCAATCGACTCGAGAACTGTTGCGGCAAACTCTGTTGGCAGCACAAATCCAAAATTCGCGCAAAAGATACTTCAAGACGACGAATCAAAAAACAAAACAGAAAACTCCACCACCATAACACGTGTCGGTGCATGAGACTTAGGTTAAGTGGAAGTGAATTTAAATTTCTGAGAACACACATGGACCTGGATATTTTAAAATTTCAGCTTCCTGAGTTAATAATTTTGGTGCTAAAACTTTCAAGTGAACGAGCGTAAGACCTACGCGTACGTGAAGACTGAATTTATACTTGCGCTGTCAAACGCGAGCAGAGAACACCTTCCTAAAATTTCAACTTCCTATCTTTTGTGGTTCTCGAATTGAAAATCGGGAACAAAATGCACTCATACATATACACACGCACACAAACACAGAACCGCAACAATGTGCGTTTTATGCAGCTGTTGCACAGCAAAAAAACGCAAAAAAAAAAAAAAGCGATGTATAATTCCAAATTTCATGTGTTCCTGCTTACGAGGGAAGCAGACGCACAACATAACGCTGAATTCAGGGACCACAAACGGAGCAGGAAACATATTCCTAAAATTCCAGCCCCTTAGCTTTTCTGATTCCCAAGCTGGAAAAGTTTTCGTCGGTTATCATGTATTCGTAGGTGGGACAAAGGCTTGTGTGAAAGCTAAATCCAAGCATCCACGGCCACACGTAAATATGAAATATTCTCGCAAAAGTTCAGTCCCCTGCCTTGTTCCCCGAAATTGGAAAGCTGCTATCAATCTCCCGCTAAAACTTTAATGTATCTTTCGTAAAGCCCAAGTGTGTTTCGGAGATGAATTTAAAAACTTCGGATTGCAAGCAGTCAGGAAACACCCCTTTAAAATTTCAACTTTCTGTTTTTTTTGGTTTTCAAATTAGCAATTTTCATGCTAAAATTTTCACCGCATCTGTGCGTGAGACACAAACATGCGTTAAAGTTAACGTCACGCTCCTATGGTTGTACTTGGCCAGGGAAGATAAAAAATTTCAGCGTCTAAGCATACTTGACTGCCCAGTTGAGATACCCGGACACATACATACATACATACATACATACACACACTATCGCGAAAGTCCCGCGAAAAATCGACAATTGTTGAAAGGGTGTGCTAGGTGCGGCAACCGGACGACGTTGGGAGTGTTATACAAGTGTTCCAACAGATGTGTGTAGCACAAGCGTCGGTGGTGCAGTGGTCTAGCACGCTGCATCCTGATGTGAAGATGAGTGGCATCTTTGAGATAATGTAACTGCAACAGAAGCGAACAGTCCGGAATAATATGATGCGCTACCATTTGACAATGATTCAAATCGTTTCGGCAAATGAGTAGCACTACAGTGGATGAATCCAAAATGATGAGTATCTGGAACAAAGCTTACAATGCATCAAAATAAAAATCAAATACACAGCAGCGCGCAACCGGCTGCTTAGTCATGTGTTTTTACAGAGCTGTTGCCGGTCACAGCAAACGGATGCGGTAAAACACGCAGCACTGATTTTTACTCGTCACAAGGTCTTAGCCTATTTACAGCAAATGTAACAAAATTTTAGATTTACAGCGCAAATTGTTTTGGAATTATTAAAAGAGCATGTACTTGAGCATGAGGTCACAAATTCAGGCACAGAAAGGATTAGAAGCTGACTTCGAATCATCCACCTGCATGCGCCTCGAGCTTAATTCGGGAATTTCGAATCTGCAGCTCGTATCAGTTCTTCAGTTCCGTGGCTTCCGCAAGAAAAGGTACCAGTTAGAAGACATGCACCAGGTGATATCACCACGTTAAACTATCGTTGATTTTCTGCCTGCAAATATCGGTATGAAACAAGCAAACCGACTAAAACTGACAGTGCACGGAATTTTCAACGCAAAATAAGAGCACAGAGCAATAATTTCAAGTTAGCCGAAATGCACGTCTAAAAATCATACTTAGAAAGCTGCTGCACACAGGTCATCAACTGCAGAATGGTGCTGCAGCAAAAATGCGATACGCAATAGCGGATGGCCAACAGATGTGTGTCCAAAGCGGTGCGGAAGCGCGATGGCAAAACTGTGAAGAATCTCAGCGAGTTCACTTAAACTTACAATTCATAAGGGAAATGAACTAACATAACGCTGATAATGTGAGCACATCGAAGTCGAAGTTCACAGCTACAATACCACTGCAGTACGTCGTCCGCTTCACCGTGATGCGTTACTTCAACGAAATGAGGTACGCCATCTCCTGCTCGAACCGCAAATGTCATTGGATTCAATAATCGCACATAAGTGCTGTAAAAAAAAAAAAATGTTCTGCTACTTGATATAAAAACTAGCACTTCGTGCCAGCTTCCTCATTAAAAAAAAAAAAAAAAAAAAAATTTACACAAACTCTGCGTTTCCAATTCAGCTGTCATTATGAACATATTCAGGTTTTTGAATGTGGAGCCACGCAACTGTCACATACACCCATGCATACACATAATACACAAGTTGAAATGTTACACCCGTTCTTAAAGTGTCTACTGATGGAAGTGAGCTTCACTTGAGACGGCGCCCTACACAAATTCAAGACACATCTGTTATAAAGCCAGTTTTCAGAGCAGAGAACATAGAAACATGCGAAAAGTTAACGACACAACACCACAGCAACAGAAGCCGCAAAAGACGTAGATCACTAAAAAATGAGGAGTATTTCTTCACTAGATTTGCAACAACTCTGCAGCGTCACGGGATGCAGCATGAAAACGGAGGGGAATGGCATTTCCCCTAACTTGTATTTGTGATTAGTTATTTGAGGAGAGCTTCAGGGAAATACTCAGACCGAGATCAGCTTCATGCCGAGAGATAAATCCTGAAATTGTTGAATTCGTTAACGAGTTGACCCGGAAAAATCAACAAAAAGTCGAAGGTGGGGATGAGCAGCGTGAATCGAAACGATGAAGTTTAAAAACATGTAGGAAGAGGGATAAAAGCTGACAGATGACATTTTCAACTGGAACTCGAAAAAGAATCACTAGATACGAATTCACTTTGGCTTGAGGAATAAAAGCGAGATCGACGGTTAGCCGAACGTCACTGGTTTACAAAAACAATACTGCAAAAAATAAAAACAAGTCAAAAATTGCAAAAAAAAAAGTTTCGATCCAAAAACCAAAGCTTGTACGCAACGATGAGTTTGAACGACAATCATCACTGGCATATTACATGAATTTGTTCGTAATGTTTCAAGACAGTATCAGTGGAAAAACACTCAATCTGACATGCTAACAAATAGATTACCGTGAGGAAGGATAGCTTATACTGTATTCACCGGATGAATGACGTTCCCGTGCACCATTTGGAGACACTAAATTACTGTATCCCTTATCACCGAGTTGCTTGGCTGAAGGTTTCTTGTTATGTGAACGTTCCGGGAACATGCTGAATGCTGTCGTGACGATATTCTCTAATACTGGAGCATATGGCAACTTTGGCAGCTGAAGGGTACGATGATAATTGCAAATGAAGCAAAGCACACCCAAATTGGTAATAAAGAAAAAACGACCACTTGCAACTGACTAAAAAATCACTGCAAAGAAGGAAGCTCGGTTCGACTTCAGGATTAGTATTTTGAATTCATCTACAAACCTAAGCATGCTTTTTTTCTTTTTTTTAATTTATCCTTTATCCGAACTTCTTCATCAAAAAAATGAAATACATATGTCTGCTTTATGCTATTTTCAGCTGTCCTTTTTGAATTTGGCTTATTTTTCTCCATATTATTTCTGCTTCCGCTTTTTATGCGATCTTGCTGTGCAGCGCTATAGCGCTGCTACAGCGAGTACAAACGCATATTATGGAGAGGTCGTCTGTGTGTGCGTGTGTGTGTGTTGAGAAGCGAGTGAACTTTGTCACCCACTCTCATCTCAGCAACCAGGAAAGCTGGGAGGCTAAAATTCTGGGTATACGTTCCTACCCCGTATGCCATCCCCCATTTTAAAATTCTCGCCCATAAATGCCTAGACCTCGCGTAACGATCGCCGAAAAGAACACGCAACTTCCTTTGGCGGGGAACGATTTCGCGAACCAGGCAAGGTAAAAAACTGAAACTTTGCAGGGATACTCGCTGTGCATCTGCGAGCTAAAGATTTCAAATGCAGCTGTCGCAACGCTTGTGCAGCGCGGACGACTACGTCAAAGTTTGCACTTGGCACTATCTTAGACCGAAAATAGCCGGGAACAGTGGCTGAAACTTCATCAGCATGTTTATCACTCACATGGGATATCGTATACCTAAAACCAGTGCCGAGTTGCACTTGCGGCTTAAGGCACTTCAAAGATATTTGTAGCGAAGTGGTTATTTCGCTTACTCGGATAAAGCGCGAGGCTATTCTAAATTCAAGTGCTGTCTTAATTCTGCATGGAAATAAGGTTCCCTGCAGGTGGGAATGAGAAATACTCAACTTTACCGAAAAACCAGAAACGAGTGCATTTTGCAGTGATTGACCGCCCTCATCCTCTCCCAGCATTCAGTTCAATCAATTTTTGACGAACGACCGCTCTAGCGACATTTCCACTTTTTAGTGAAAAACTGAAATTTTTGCATTTTCAAAAATTTGCCTTTTTCATTTTTATGCGTCTTTGCTGTGCAGCGCTATAGCTCTGCTACAGCCAGCAAAAACGCATATTGTCAAGAGGCTGTCTGT